TTTTTACTGTCTTGACACTATATCTAAAGTCAGAACCCCTTTATTAATCTCTCACGAGCATAAAGCAACACTCTTACTGCAAAGTGCATCAATGTTTACACCCGGAAACATGAACTGGTTCAAGAGTTACAATTACCAATTTTTAGAATCAGTAAAACAAATCTTGAAATGCTTTTATGTATTGAAAAGCTGAAACAACATATAGGAATTAATTGTCTTCTTGTATCATTCCTTAGGGATACCATAAAGGCATAAACTATGACCATAACATTGATAATGATAATTAGGGTGATGGAATAGCAAAAGGCATTAAATCTTATGAGTTTCTTCGACATATGAGGGGTAGTTTGAGCTTACCCCGTCTTTGCCATGGGTTGTAAGTGTAAAAGCTAGCCTCATTAATCACAAGGGTGGTGTCTGATTAGTTTGAGCTTGGCTCCAAAGGTCAAAAGTAGCAGGAGGTCCCAGATTCAAATCCAAGGAAGAACAAAAATCCCCTTGTGGCCACGAAGGTTCAAATGCGGTGACTCCGGGCTATCTGCAAAGCAGGTGGTCGTCCTGGGATTAGTCAGCTCGCATAGCGGGTTGGATATCCAGGTTAATAAAAAAAACTACCCTCATTAATATTACTATTTTGATTCATGTATATACCCTTCACTTACTTCACAAAATGCCAATAATTTGTGGCTTTGATCCCCGAAGAAGTCCTCCTTATTTCTTAAACAAATCCATTTTGAACCAGTATCTCATAAAATAGATAATAAAAATATTTTCGAACTTTTTTCATGTGACAACCAGTTTCATTTGAGTAAATCAAAAATCGAAAAACCAAGAATCTGAAAACCTATAATCAAGATCGAAAAACATAAGCATTTAGAATGTTGAGTCTCCTCAAACCTAAACTTCATTTATTATACTGGAGTGGTCACCATGATCCCTCTGAAACAAAAATGGCAATCACAATGACCACCGGTGTAGTAAATGAAATTCAGGAACGAAATTTGATAGTGAGAGACAATTACATGGACCAAAATGTAATTTATTCAAAAATATATGTAACACATATTTAAATTTATATAAGAAAATCAAATTAAATTGTTATTTAATATTAGATGGAGCTTCTTTGTCATTTTTTCTAAAAATTGTTACCTAAGAATTAAACTCGAGCTTGAGCTCGGCATATTAACGAGTCAAGTCGAGCTGCCCAACATTCGACTTGTAAAGCTCGTCAGATACTCGATTTTCTTTATATATAATTAGTTTTAAAAATATAACCAGTTTTATAATATCATTTGTAAAATATAATATACTAAGAATGTCTTGTATTTTTAGTTATTTGAACAATATTGTGTGTTTTTTAATTATAAAAACTAATCAATCTTTATCTTTATTTATATATAAAGATAACCTTGGGGTATTGAAGTGGCATCATGATAATTGAGTATTCGTAAATGATGGATTGTGGTTGAGTTTTAGTTGTCCCACGTTGGTTTGAGGTGCATCTCTGTAGTTTTATAAAATTTAATAGAACACATTTTAAGTTTTATAATTTATAAGATAAAACCCTGAAATTTCATAAATTTCGATAGGTGAGTTTGATTTGAGTTCAAGCTTGATTCGAGTTGGAGTTTAAAAAATTGCAATCGAGTTCGAGTCGAATTTAGTTTTTTAGCTACTCGCGAGTATTTGAGCTGAGTCCGAGCTTGAGAAATGACTATTGAGTTCGAGTCGAGTATATTGACACTCGAGCTAGACTCGCATGAGTTACACCCCTAGCCGCCGCCACTACCATCGCCCTGCTACTACCGTTGTTGTGCCACCGCCACCACACCGTACTTCTATAGCGCGAGTTAATATACTTATTAATTTTATGATTTTATAATTTCTATACTTTAAAACAAAAGTATGTCAAAAAAAAGGCCTAAAATGGTATTTTTGTTATTTATTATTAGTTTGTATTCAGAAGTTATGTTCGACGAAGCAAAATATAAATTCCAATTCATTTAACAGATTTGTTCCAATTTTGTCAACTGAACACATAGTCAAATCTAATTAAATTCCATTTCAATTTTTTTCATAATTCAATTTCCTTGACATAATTCAATTCCAATATATTTCATTTTGGAAACCAAATTCCACCATAGTTGTTTGTAGAGTAAATTAAACTCTCAGTCCTTGTGGTTTGCTTAGAATCATGATATCGTCCCTCTTTCAAAAAAATAAGTACATTGGGTGTGTTTGTGGTTTACTACGAGCTTGAATTCTTGTTTTAACATCTAATCAATTAACTCAAGGACATTTTGGTCATTTTACTCTTGTTTTTGTGTTTTTCCTTATTTTATATACATATAGATTTGAGATCATGTGAGACCAAAGGTTTTTCGTGACACCCGTAAGACCAATTCTCAACCCTTGGATTAGATCCACAATCCGACAATCTGAACATTTTTAAATGCCATGAGATTTCTCAATAATCACAAAATTGTCACCGTGCAACTTTAGACCCTTAGATCATTACCTTATAAAGTTGATCAATGAACATGAATTGGTCTTACGAGTCTCACGAAAAACAGTTGGTCTCACGTGAACCCAACCCTATGTATGTATATATATATATATATATATATATATATATATATATATATACTACCTTAATATTCATTCACATCAAAGTCTTAATTACACCACAACAAGCATAGAGCTTTTTGAAGCATAAAAACTGAAAATCTCTTAATTACTAATTATGATGCATTAGGTACAAGTCATTGATGCAACCCTTTTGAACTCTCCACCAACAAATATGGTCAGCATCAATGTTTCTTTCTTTCAAAAAGAAGTCTTTCCTTCCTTTTTCAGCTTTTTTTAAAACGTTTCTCTTTCCTGATATGATACGTTAGGCAGAAATCATTGATGCATGAAGTACAACCTTTTTATGCATAAATTTAAAAAATCTTTTAATTACAAACTATTATGCACAATAAGAGATGCTTAAGACATACCCTTTATTTGGGTTTAGGTAAGCCATATTTACATAGAAAAAGATATATTTGGTCTTCCCGAAATTGTTTGACTTCTATTTTGAACCCAAATTCAAATTCAAAGTAGTTCTTTTGAGCCAAAATTCAAAACAACAATATCAAAAGGCTTTTCTAAACCCCCCTGTGCCCAACCCTAGACCCAACCTTATCGTTCATTCGACTTTCGACCGTCTTCTTACCTCGAGCCATCGGCAACCACGAAGGCACGAACCACCGACGCTTTGGAGTTTGATTTCATATATGGAGTTTCATTTCTGATTTTCTTTTAACAAAAGCTTTGGAGTTGAGTTCGATTTGATCGTGCTAAACAACAGGTTCGATTTCTTCTTTAGTTGTTCATTTGTTCCTTTTTTTTTTGTCATTCATAGAGTCTCGTACCTAAAAAATTTTCTTCAACATGCAACAACTTCGGCCTTTGAAGTACGATTTTCTTCCAGCTTTGGCCTTTGGAGCTTGATTTCAGAAGGTTTCTTCTTTGGCCTTTGAATGGGTTTTTGTAGTTTCGTTCTTCTATCTTTTTCCTTTGAATGAGTCTAATATTTGAGGTTTATGTGTTCATTAGTCAAAACCAACATTGGTTGGTTTGTTTGTTTCATTTCAAATTCCAATCCCATGTAAAAGTAAACTAGAAAATAAGTTTGCTTGAACTTGCCAAAATAATAACATTTTAACATGTTTAACAACTTCTGATAACATAGGTGATATTTGCTCTAGGATGTTTCGTAGATCTATACTATATTATAAAACATTTGACAAAAACTCTTAAAAACCATTTTTTTATGCATAAAGTACTGTATATTTATGTATATTACTTAAAATTCAAGATTACAAGTAAATTATGCATAAGTACACCTTATTAAAGCTCCATGTTTGAATTTGTGTAACTAACTGCGGATAAACGTAATCAAATAGAGAATAAACATCTCATTTTAAAATATAAAAATTCTATAATATAATTATAATAATTATCAAGTTCTAACAAAATAATTAATTATTATCTTTATAAGAAAATTATATTATTAAATCAAATATAAATTATTTCATTATTGAACCTAAATTAAATTAAAAAAATTGAATTAAAAAATTACACAAAATATGAAGAATTTTAAATAGTTAATTTGATATTAATATCGATATATTTTTGTCAAAATTTTATGTTATATTCAAATTTATATTTTGTTCAAAATTAAAAACATCATCATTTTTTTCAAAATCACATAAGACCATATTATAGCATCGACTGAGATAATAAATAAAATGAAATATTAAAATTAAGATGTAACKTGTTGTTTTGCGCGAGTACCGTTCTAGTATATGTGTGTGTGTGTATGTATCGAGTTTATACCACATAAGTATATGGTCACAAGGAATTTGAAAATATACAACCATGGTCAAATTTTAAGGTCCCATCCAAATAAACAGCTATGCAAGTATATGTGGTGCTTGAATACGAATAAGTATGCTTACTGTCTTTCATTTATTTTCTAACTGTGGCATATTTGCTGGTGGCTAGCCGTCTGGAAATTGGCAACTTTTGTATCCTTCTGTATTAAACAACATCAAGTTGTTGCTGGTAAGTTTCTTTCTTCAGAAACATGTTGTCCTTTGAAAATGAGTGCATCACATGGTACAACAAAGTAATCAGACATTGAAACAAAATTTGATTTGTTGTACAATAATGTATGAATACTTGAGGTCTTAAAGTACTTTTTTCTGTCAATTTTACAGTTACAGAGTGGTCTGGTGGTCTGCATGTGTCTCCGACAATTGCTGGTAGCCGACTTGGAAGTTTGATTGCAGGGGCTTGAGGAGCCATGCTTTAATTAGGGCAAGAAGGTCACATAATTGAACTTTGAGCTTATAATTCCTGGTCTATTTCTGCCACAATTTGTTATAGCAAAACCGATCATTTTTTTTTTTTTTTGGTTTTTTGAAGGTTACCTCGAGCATACAAAAGAGATAATGGAAGCATCAAAGAGGCTACAAAAAGGGTATTTTGTGAAGTCCTAATTTGCTCTCTTTTAACCAAAATCACCAGTGCTTTGGTATATTAAATCTTATCTTTTTTAATCCATCCATCCCATGAAAATTGCAACATGTTTCTCTTTGGTAACTTTTAACGTAGAATTACCTGTTTAGTCATTGTCAATACTACATACACCTTATTAGGGCTATTATTATCTTTTATTTTGTTGTGTGATTATTGGAGTATATATAAGATATTTGGAATGAGATATGCACTTGATTGTTGCAAAGTTGTGCAGCATAAAAGAGATCCCAGAGTTGTTTATCATTGGAAGGCCAGATATGACGATTGTGGCTTTTGGCTCTAACATGATTGACATGTTTGAAGTGAACGACTTACTGTCCTCTAAAGGCTGGCATTTAAATCCATTGCAAAGACCTAACAGGTAAACTATTGACATGCTTGTTGGATATATATGGATCCTTAAATTGATCTACTTGTGTGTTTGTGTGTGTGTATGCTTATTTTTGTTGCATGAAACAGTAATTTGAACATGACATGTTGAACCCATTTTTTCAGCATTCATATATGTGTGACCCTTAAACATGTACCTGTTGTTGACAATTTCCTTAAAGATGTAAAGGATTATGTGGAAACTATAAATTATTCCTAGAAAATTTTCCATTTGCTTTTGCTCGTATTTAGATGCAAAGTGGTGTTGGTTTTGGTTGTTTAGGTGAAAGAAAAGTCTAGGCCAGTAAGTGGAGGACTTGCACCGATATATGGTGCAGCTGGGAAGATCCCAGATTGAGGAATGGTGAATGAATTAGTGGTAGACTTCATGGATAATGCTTCCTGATGATGCGATTATATTTGTTGTGTGGCATCATTCATTGTCAAAGGAAATTGTGTTATATACCATAAGATCAATGTGTAAAAATGTTTGAAAAATAATCATCTTTATCTGATGGTCCATGTTTTACCTATGGGAAGATGAAAAATAATGTTGGTCCCGTTAGGGTCTATAAGATGTGTATAACAGTTTGTAGAATGGGGGCGGGGGGGGGGGGTGAATACAAACACATTAAACTTTTCAAATTTAAAATATATATTGATAAACAAGGATCAATACAGATTTTACAAGATTGTTTGAGAAAATATAAGGTAAAGATAACCTATCTAAACAATCTAAGTTACACACTAATTCTTAGCAAAGAGAAATGATTTGTTGTTTAAGATTTAGAAGAAAGTAAGTTCTTTCTAGGTAAGAACTATTTAGAATACTAAAAAGGGGCTCCTCTAGGGATGGAGGTAGGCCCAGCCCAGGATTGTGCGGTATTCTAACTTGCTTTTGAAAATAAGCGTATTGTGTTTTTAGATGTGTGTTCTTTTACTTATGAACGTAAGATAGGGTTCAAGAGTAAGTGTAAGAGTATCTCTGCATGGAGATAGAACACATTTATTTATACCTATTGCATTAAATAGACATTTAATGCAATGTAGTAGGGTTTGAACACGTGTCAAGTCTTTAGAGAAAGACTTGTCCTTTACTACGGTGAATAGTACAAAAGCCTATTCATGAGCAAACATCCTTTCATGGAGTTGGTGGGTAGTAGAGTCAACTAATCGGCTCTGTATCGTACTATGCTCTAGAAAGGGTATGAGTTTGTCCTTTGCGTGTGTAAGGACAAGACATAAACAATCGTGTTTAACAAGCTTCTTTTGATCACTGAATGCTGGAATAACCTAAAGGTCTCTTCAGCATTCGCTGAAGCTTGGGCAGTCTTCACACATGTATAGACCAGGTTGTAATCACTGAATACCGCTTCAGATCACGAACTTGCCAGTCTCTAATCTTCAGTTTCAGTATTTGACTTTTGCTAAAGGTTCTTTGGTATGAGTTATGTCTTCTTGAAGTATCGTTGTCGTTGATGAATTTACATTACATGTTCTCAGCGATCATTGAATAGATTCAGTGATGATCGCTGGAACTGAAAGACAGAAACATAAATACTTCGTATAAGGTAAAAAGGATTATCATCAAATTATTGAGAGAGAGGATCAACAATCTCCCCCTATTTGATGATAACAAGGCAACATAAATAATGTTGTCTTATCAAATAACAGTAAGGAAAAGTTACAAATAAAGTACATGTCCCTTTTAACTGTTTTGAGATCTTTTTCAGTGAGTCAGTCTTTACTTAGAAATTTTCATAAGTTTAAGTCTAAGAAAAATTAAAATAAGGGAAACTGAAAAGCATATTCACTGACTTATAGATTGTCAGTGAATATAAGAGTAACACTGGAACTCATAGACTTGTGTCCCTATTACTCTTTTTAGGGATCTTTTTCAGTGATGCACGAAAATACTTATATTAATTTCCAAGGAAATATTACAAGAGTTTCAGTACATGTCTAAACTTACAAAATATAAGAATAATTACTGAAAGTAGACATAGAATATAGTTACAGTGAATGGATAATATTACAAAGGAAAGAAACTAGTCTAAGTCGCTCAGCTTAATGAAACCTGGTACATTTTCTCCAAGCTCATTTCAACGTAGAAACTCCCTTCTTATCTTTGGTTCAACATTTCACCTCTGAAGTCATCATCTAGCCAGAACCTGAGATATCTGAGGTGTTCCATATGGCATAGATGTAACTCAGACATTCTCTGAAATCTCCCTTTACCTTCATAGTCAAGGAATATCATAACTCAGGTTTGCCATGCACAATGTTGGGTACATAAGGACCCTTCGCTGGCAGTGAGAGATTTAGCATAGAGAGGTCTGACTTTTTCGAAGCTTTCAGGACTTCTTACAAGGAGAACTTTGTTTCATGTTCGTTCCTCAGGGATGGTCCATTATTAGGGCTTGAAGGTTTTTTTCTTCTTCTTCCTCATTTCTTCAACGTAGGCATTTCAGGGACTGCGACATATCTGGACACCTTCTTGATCAACTCGTTGATAAGGTCTTCGATAATCGTCTTATGTTTGGACTTTGAGCGCTGAATGGCTTGTCGGATCTCCAACCATTCGCTGTAGCCATATTCGCCAAGGTAGAAGGGATACTCGGTCACGGCCTCGAGATTATCCCCGGTGATGAGCATGGAGAGCAGCATCCCACCGTATTTTGATCATCCGCTGATACTGACGCTCTTGATCGGGTGAGGGCTAATTCTTTTATTGATACTTGCTTCGCTCCAGCGCTTGTCCTGCTCGACCAACTTCAGGTTCTTCTCATATTTAGCTTCTTTAAATTCCATTCTTCAGCGACGCCTTTGCCTTTCGGCTTAGGGCCCTGGTTTGCTTCAGGTGCAGACTCTTCTTCCCTTTGCTCCCCCTGGGATGCGGAATCCCTGAGGGCAACTCCTTTTGTGGCAGTGACAGGACGCTGGTATTGAATGGTGAAGTCGTCTTCGTCGTCATCATCATCTTCATCATCCAGGTCACTGCCGAAGTCAGGGAGGTCAGGAGAGTCACATTCCTTATCATCATCGTCTTCATCATCATCTTTCACATCACCAGCAACATGTGTAGATGTGATGGGAAGGTCATCATCACGAGCTTCAGCTCGAACGGCATCAACATCCTCATCTATAGCAGCATCACTGGAGGTTGGGATATCACAGATAATCTCAACTTCAGCTTCAGCTTCAGCGTCATTGGTTGTTGGAGCATCAGGTGCAGTAGGGGCGACAGCAGATGGTCCGGCAGCATTAGACCTTACCTCCCCCCTCTAGCGATGGCTTGAGAGCATAAGCCAGAGAGTTGGTCGACGTTGTAGAGTTGAAGTACCATCATCTCTTCTAGCCACGTCAGAGCATTGGCTAAGCTGATAGTTGATTTACGCGCCTCGTTTTGCTGGACGTGGTCATCAACAGAGAATGAAGGAGTAGGCACAACATTCGCTTGAGGGTGACCAGAATTTGCTGCAACAGCTCCGCTTGCTGAAGAGAGTGAGCAAATGCGTCATCAACCCTGCTTGTGAGACCAGCAATGGCCTCAACATTCGCTCGTACAACTTCTTGAAGAGTGGAGAGCTGGCCCTTTACATCTTATGGCTAAAAGGTCCATAACAACTTCGTCTTTTCGAGACATGTCCTTGTGGACCTCGTCCATCTTGATGAGGACAGTCTCGATGGTTGGAAGATGAGCTTGACATCCATCGCCATGTCATACTCCTCTTCGCCCATGGCTTGGGCCTCAGATGGACCTGAAAAGGAAGGAGAGTGAGGAAAAAGAAACTCTGGGTTAGAGGAAATGAAAGGATAGGAGCGTGGAGTACCTGAGGGGTCTTCAGCATTATCTGAAGGATTAACGCTGGTTTGCTCCATGGTGCACTCATGAGGATGAGCACCAGCATGCTGAGGAGCTACCTCAGGTCCAGTGGTGAGTGTCTCATCATTAGGGAGGACAGACACTGATGACTCACCGACATGTGTTGAGACCAACAACGAAGGGGAGGAGAAGATGGCTGAGACTGATAGTGAGTGTTCAGCGATGGCGGCGCTGATACTCACACCTTCAGTGATTTGAGTCACTGAGGCGGTTAGGAGAGGTGCCACTGATACGACAGTGATATCAGGAATCACTAAAGAGTTTGGTTGGCTAACTGAAGGTGCCTCGGGGTTAAGGCTCTTTTCAATAGCTGAGACCATTTGAGAGGTCACAGCCAGAAATGAGGTATTCCCCTTTTTGGCCTTCTTGGCCCTCGAAGGAGAACCAAGAGTGGGTTGAAATGGAAGTTTGGAAGAAGTGTTTATGGTGGCTGGGATAGACTTGGGGGGGGGGGATTTCCCTTGTCTTGGCCACTTGAGGAGGAGAAGGAGGAAATGAAGAGAATTGCAGCACAGAAGATAGTGCAACATCTCCATCCCTAAGCTTGTGATCCAGAATCCTAGATCCAAGCCTGCAGACAGGAAGATTACCTTCCTTAGAATACCTGTCGCCAAAGATCTTGGCAAAGACCATGGATAAGAACTTGGTATAGGGCACCACTTTCTCCCTCTGGCGTTTGTTCAGCTTCAGCGCCAGGTCGTCGAAGATGACGACAACATAGTGGTCAGCGTTGGATCACTAAGACGCCAATGGTGAAAGCGACTCTAGAAGCCTGATCCTGGCCACCAGTCTTTCCACCCATACTCTAGATGAAGTGAGAGAACATGTATTGCCAGACCGTTGACATGCGGTTCTTTTCAATCTTTGAGAGAGATTTGAGGGGCTCGCTGGAGTCCTTCTTCATTGGCTATTGGTAGCCAATGTCATCGAGGCAGGAGATGATCTCAGTAGTGGATGGTTCACTGGCAAAGGGACCCTTGGGGAATCGAAGTGCGTGTCTTAGAGTCGTCACACCGAAGCTAACAGTCATCTTGTTGAAGGTGAAGGAGATTTTCTCCACCTGATAACCATTCTTACCCTCCTCTTGCACCACTTCACAGTCATCCAGAACTGCTGAAGGGCATCCCTAACCATGACAGATTCATGGTTGAGAGCATAGGCGATTGGGGACATGCGAAGGAAGGCATCAACATCCTTGTAGATGATTTTGTTGGTGAGAATGTCCAACACGACAATATGGTTATTGGCCTTAAAGGAGATGTCTTCCACAGCAAAGTTCACATTCTTGGCAACCATTTTCCATTTTTGGTAAGAAAATAAGAAAGAGAAAAACAGTTTATATTAGTAGTCCAAGATTTATTGTGATCTTTTTAAGTTTTAGAACAATAAAACTTCTTTTGAAAAATCCACAAATGAGATATTAGGGTTTTTCAAGTAGATTAGTGCTTTGAAACAAGATTATAACCATGAAT